ACTAATCAAAAACCTTACAAAGGTCAATGAATAATAATAAAAAAAAGCATAAATAGCAAAGTTAGGAATAAACTTCAAAATAAATAAACTATTTCTAATTCAAGTAGTTACAAATCTCCATGTAGATGCCACAAATGCTCAACTAGGTCTGCTTGGAGTTGAGAATGAGTTTGTCTATCTCTGATGTGATGATGATTTTGAATGAATTCATAAAGTTCGGGTGTACGCTCATGTGACACTGCTAGAGGGAGACTTTCTTCGATTGCATCATAATTACAGTCTATATTTTGTTCATTTCGTTCATCTTCAACAATCATGTTATGCAATATTATACATGTCTTCATAATAACTTTAAGGGTTTCAACTTTCCAAAAACGTGCAGGTTCTCGCACAATTGCGAAACGTGCTTGGAGCACCCCATATGCTCGTTCGACATCCTTCCTTGCTGACTCTTGAGCTTTAGCAAAATGTATTTGCTTATTGCCTCATGGAGATGGGATTGTTTTAACTAGTCATTCAAACTAACTAAACCAATTTTCAAAACAAAAAAATGCTATATATATTACTATCTTTTTCATAAAATGCCACATACGCACCAAACGCTAATATGGTTGCCAATGTGACATTTGCGATAATATTTTTAAAAATAATATTTTTTAATATTAGTTTTAAAAATATTATAAAAAATAATGTTAAGTAATAGTTAATTTTTTTTTATAAAACTTATAGTACGTGAATATATACCAACATATGAATTTTGTGGAACCATCTTGAAGGGAAGGGGAGGGGAAGAATAAAAGAAAACAATAAAGAATTTGTTTAAAAAAGTAACAACACAAAGGAAGTTCTTCAATAATTGTAATTTATCAAATTAAATTAAGAACTGAAAGAACACAAAATAACTAATCAAAAACCTTACAAAGGTCAATGAATAATAAAAAAAAAAAAAAAGCATAAATAGCAAAGTTAGGAATAAACTTCAAAATAAATAAACTATTTCTAATTCAAGTTGTTACAAATCTCCATGTAGATGCCACAAATGCTCAACTAGGTCTGCTTGGAGTTGAGAATGAGATTGTCTATCTCTAATGTGATGATGATTTTGAATGAATTCATAAAGTTCGGGTGTACGCTCATGCGACACTACTAGAGGGAGACTTTCTTCGATTGCATCATAATTATAGTCTATATTTTGTTCATTTCGCTCATCTTCAACAATCATGTTATGCAATATTATACATGCCTTCATAATAACTTTAAGGGTTTCAACTTTCCAAAAACGTGCAGGTTCTCGCACAATTGCGAAACGTGCTTGGAGCACCCCATATGCTCGTTCGACATCCTTCCTTGCTGACTCTTGAGCTTTAGCAAAATGTATTTGCTTATTGCCTTGTGGAGATGGGATTGTTTTAACGAATGTTGACCATTGAGGATATATACCATCAGCGACATAATATCCCATTGTATAGTCATTTCCATTGATTGAGTACTCAACTTAGGGAGCACGTCCTTCAACAAGGAGAGAGAATACAGAAGAACGTTCTAGCACATTTATGTCGTTATGAGATCCAGGTAATCCAAAATATGCACCGCTTCTAAAATAATAGTTGGTTCGCGGATGTGACCACAATACATACCTTTCCATGCAATAGGACAATTCTTCCACTTCTAATGCATACAGTCAATGCTCCCTAGCATTCCAGAAAACCCACGATTTTTTCCCACCTCTAGTAATTTAGCAATGTCATCTTTGTTTGGCGTCCTCAAGTACATATCTGAAAAATTTGCAACCACTGCCTCAACAAACCTTTGTAAACTTTCTATTGCAGTGCTTTCTCCAATCCTCACATAATCATCTACAGAATAGGCCGCTACTCCATAAGCGAGCATCCTCATAGCAGTTGTCATCTTTTGAAGGGAAGACAAACCAAGAATTCCAACAGCATCTTGTTTCTGGACAAAATAAGGATCATATGCTTCCACCATAGATAAAATACGAAGAAAAAGACATCGACTCATCCGAAACCTCCTCCTAAATAAATTGGGAGGATATGTAGGCATTTCAGAAAAGTAATCTTGATAAAGTCTCTTGTGGCCTTGAATTCGATTACGATAAATAACTACATGACCTTGAATGGAACCACGACGTAATCCCAATTGTCTCTCATTATTTAACCGCTTTTCTTCCAAAGCAGCTATTGCAAATATTTCCAATTCATTATCAGAATCAGAGTCATCAATAATCATCTTCATTACACTATTGCGAGCCATGGAAATTAAAAGAAGAATGAAATTGAGAGATAAACTACTGAAAATAAATATTAGGATGTGTTTTGCTTCTTAAGCTTTGCAAGTTCTGCCTAACAACTTCAATTTTCTGCAAAGTCAAATTTATAAAACATATCAAACAACTTCCAAAATCAAAACACCAGCAACTTACATAATCTCTATTTAATTCATCAACAAATAGAAATGTCCTGTAAATAAGTAGCACTCCAATCCAACATACAACAAGCAATTATATTTAGCCATGGAGTACTTTAGCAAGCAGTCAACAAGAATTCCACTTAGTAATTAAGTTACTACTAGTTCAACCATTCAACAATAGGTAGTTCCAAAATAATTTTAACATATAATAACTAATTCCAACATAAACTACATAAAAAACATAGTTCTGCCTACAATGGAGAATCAAATCTGACAATAAATAAAGTGAAAAACATAGTTCCAACAACTAAATTCTTTTTAGGTAGATCAAACAACTAAATCTTTTTTTGGAGAATTTCCGTTTGGCGTGATGAAGGTATTTTGCTTGCAATGAAGGCAGACCACTCGTATCCATTGACATTATTCGCTCTTCCTCCTTCAATTGTTCCATTCGTATCCTCTCTTTCTCATTATCAACCCTTTCTTGTTCCATTTGCATCCTCTTTTTCTCATTATCAATCTTTTCTTGCTCTTGAAGATACGGCCTTTCATACATCTCTATTTTCTTGTCATTCATTTTCTTTCTATCTTCCTTTAAATCCTCTAATAATATTAAAATAGGCGACCCTCCTTCATTTCCACGGTCTTTATTCTTTCTTTTATTCAAACGTTCCTTTTCAGTCTTCTTACCCAGTGGTCTTTCCAAGTCTACATTGTCATTATGTGAAACATCATTGTCCTCTAAATTGATTGAATCTGGTGCACTAGGAGAACAAACGCCTGGAGTTGCCACTTTTTTGGGGTTTTGTTTCTTTATGCTATATTCCTCTCGCCATTTTGGTTGATCTCTTAACTCATGCCAACAATGTTCAAATGGAAATGACGATTTGTACAACTCTTTGTATAATTTATTCGCATCATGAATCTGAATAATAGATAAAAGAACACTAATTATCATGAGATTAGACAATTCCAATGATAATAAGTATAAAAATCTCAGTGGGATTAATACCTTATCTTTTTCAGTCTTTCCACTTTGATTCAACCTTTGGATTTGGGCGAAGCACCCACTGAACTTATTCGTGGCAAGTTGAATCGCTGACCAACGATTCATTAAAGAAGTTTGACTATGATTAGATGAAAACGTTTTGAACTGGTGGAAGTACTCCCACACTCTTAGCCAATATGCCTTTGATTTTTGTTCATTCCCTTGCACTGGATCTAAGCTAATGTTAAGCCATGCCGATATGAGCATACTGTCTTCTTCTGTAGTGAAGTTGCCACCTCGTTGTGGTTTCTTGGTGGTTTCTATTTGTGACGAGATTGGGGAAGACTGATCCCTTTGGTCAAGAGGTTCATCCATAAATTCATAATCAGTCCCATCATTCATCAAGTTGGTGAAATATGCATCATTTTGTTGCTGACTCATCTATAGACAAGGTAAACAAAATTATGGCAACATATATTGGGTTGGAGAAATAACTAAGTGTAACAGGCCCGCGGGGGACCTCGCCACAGCTCGGACTCGACTTTTGTCAGTCACGGTTCTAAATCTGAACCAAAGAGTCCAAATCCGGCAAATCGTTTTTGAGAAAACAGATTTTTGAAAGAAGTGCCAAACATGGACTGCTTTGCCAGATACAGAGTCGCCACCTAAATATTTTTTAAATGGGAAATTTAGGAAACCCTGACTCGGTGCCAAAGGCCATGTGTCCGTCATCACCAAAGTTACCTCGGCTCGGGAACTTGGGTACGATTGGGGAAGGTCACTTCGTGAGCACCCCCGCTCGCCCGGTCAAAGACCGGCCTCTACTAACCATGATATCTGCTTTTGAAAACTTTGTGTGTCCTTATTCCGGTTATTAGCCTAGGTTACTATGTGATGCACACAACATATAAGTATAGACTGAGTCACCCGAATTGGAACAAAACACTTCTTATTTGTTTATTTGAAAGGTGGAGTCAGCGAGAAGTCTGGAAGAGACCAGTTTCCAGCTTTGCAGTTGAGTTCTTTCAATAGCCGAGCTACTGGAGGCGCTCTACCGCTGTGCCAGTTCTCTACCTAACTGCGGCATCCGTACGGAAACGCCGCTGTGATTGGTTGAGAAGAGGATTGAAGTGGCCTATAGGCTCAAGTATGAAGTTTGAGGTTCTGATGATCGAGACTATGCGCGCTAGTTATGCCAGTCCTATATTGAATCATCGATTGCAGCGAGGAGAAGGACTGAGGAGCTCTAAGAGGTAGCCTGAGGCGAGCAGGGGGATGTACAGGAGACAGAGTGTCTAAACCCTCAACACTCTCAAGGTGTGGTTTTAGATGCAACCTTCCAGTGCCGAGTTGTAAAGTCGGGAGAAATCAAGAAGATTTCACCTATTACAAGTTTGGTCAGCTGAGCACCAAGGCTGATCGGTATATGTCCACAGCAGCGAGGAGCTAGAGAATGCTGCTCAAACTTCAATCCTAGACTACAGAGCCATAAGAGTTAGTAGTACGGTCGCCCAGCCCTTGTCTTTGTTATCTGTCAAGCTCTAGCATGCTGAGAGTATGTTTTGCACTACAGATGAGTCCACTCGGTGCGCTTATTCTGAGTCCTACGCAGACGTAGTGGGTTTTCAGCCAAGCTCACTCTAGTTGTCAGGTCTTCGAGCAATCCGGGTAAGCTTTCGTCGTCCCAGCCTAGTTATTTACGCCCTGCAAGCAGTGTATGCTTTCTAGGGGTGACAAGTGATACAGGGCTTACTGGATTGCTGTATAATCTGCTTTATCCCGCAGATCTTTTATCTGCTCCATCAGTTGCTTTGAGATGTACCTTCTTGTTTTAAACCGTGCTAGTTTATGATATACAGGTTGCATACTATTCTTTCTGTATCTGCGTGTCATTCATCTGTATTGGGCTATTGGATGGCACAGTTAGCATTCTTCGTGTAGTGTCATACTATTGGGTGATATTGTTTTTAACAAGTAATTTGTAGGGTTGTGATGATAAAGTCGGTCATTGCACCTGAGGCTTCCGTTTCCTTGTATGTATAGTTTCGATGCTCATATCGGATTTGGATGTTAGTTTGGTCATGACTGAGCTATTCGTGTTTCATACCGTGGTAGTTAATTGATTGCTTACCGCCAGCTTGCGATTCATCGAGAGATCGATTCTCTATTGATTTATGATCCCAACACGTAGGTGCACCGATTTCCTATGACCTTATAGTTTTGCTCCTGTAGCGTCGAGTTATGAGGATGAAATTCAGCCAGAATTGCTAAAAGGGACTTCATTCTGCTTAGTGTTTCACTAGGAGCACCGCCCTCTTTTGCTAAAAAGAAAGATGTGCTTGAGACTTTTGTATAGATATCGGAAAGTTAGGATATGGAGGTACCCGTGTGTTAAGTAATAAGTACCCTATGCCCTAGATGAATCGTTTGATCACCGATTTTGATAAGGCAGTCGTGGAAGTCCGTTTGTTTCTAAAGTTCTATACTAGATCTATTACCACTAGTTTGAGGGTCCAGGAGGAGGATATCGAAGAGATCGGGACGTAAGGTGAACCAAGGGTGTTTTGCCTCATTTTTGGAGGTACCCTGTGATACTGCTCACCGATAGGTTACAATCAAGTCAGGGCTGAAGGGTGAGTGAAGCTATGAGTAATGTTGTAATGGCATAGGCAAACCCCGAGATTATTATTCTCTCTCCTGAGAATGCCTTACCCTAGACGGCTTCTCTGATTGTTTGCTCGAATCTTCGGTGGGCCAGATCGATGACACACCCTTCCTGCTAGATATAGTAGTTGCGAGACGTGAAAGTCACGACCACGACAATACTCTGTGAGCATAGCAGTCTATCTGTCGCGGGATGCTCCTTAACAAGTGATGACCGCTACACATTAATTTTTCTTTCCATTTTTGCCCACACTCGGCTCTTCCTGGGCCAGAATCCGAGTGATGAACAAGTGCTTGGAGCTGAGCTAAAATGTTCGCCAACTACAGTCAATGCCACATATCTGTGATCGGTTATCAGACCGTAGGAGAAAGGCGCCCCTAAAAAACCATGGCCGCGGCCAAGTAATTGCTAAATTACTTGTCTTGTATCACCACTCTCACATCCTAAAGATCATGACAAGGTTTGAGAAGCACCACCGTGGAGCAAGATGTAGTGCGCGCACCAACTCTAACTCTAAACCACAATATATGTGGATCTAGTATCAGACATTCGCAACAAACTTAGGATCATCCTAAAATTTGGTGGAGCTAGTAATTTGTCCCGAAAGCTTCAACTTCTTTTTTGGTCAAAAAGTGGTTCAGCGATGAATCCAGAGAAGGAGAAAAGCTGCCGCGGCAATTTCACGCGTGAAAACGAGGTCGACCGTATTACCTGCTATTAAGTGATGTACAGAAGGTAGAGAGCCCATTAAATATTGAGCCCCACCACCATTGTAACCAAGCTTAACAAGGAAAGCGGTCCAGTATGAGAGTATGAAAAATTATCGGCCGAGAGGGTGCAATAAGTTATATATTGCCCACTTCAACACATCCAGTCCACCAGTGAGCCAGAAAGTGGGGAGATGATATGGTTCGGGTGAAGTCCCGCTTGGACTGAATCTCGCATGCCCCAGGGAGAACTCAGGAATAAGGGCATAACTTTTTCTACCCAGCAAGAGGAAATGTTTAAATGCCAAGTGTGCTAGGCCAGTTGCGAAAGCTAACTCTACATGTGGCTCATCATAATTAAGGGGATCGAGGGAACACTGCCACCTCCTTATTTACATGGAGGCCTAGAGGTTACCGGCCGGACCGTTTTTTTCTTTGTACCTAGCCGGCCGGCTATGTTAATGTAGGCAAGCCCGAGCCGGCC